ACATACAAATGTAAGAGAATAGTAAAATGAACCTCTCCATGGGGCCACCACCCAGTTTGAACAGTTACCAACTCATGGCCAATTGTTTCATCTGTATCCCCTTTTTCTCATGCCATCATTTTAAAGCAAATCCCAGACATCATTTTATTTATAAATACTTACAAATAAAATAATCACATCAAATATGATTATACTTACAAGTTCATAATAATTCTAAAGCAACTCAATTGATGGGTCACCATTGATGGGTAAGGGAATGAACTCATTATTTTGAAATTGTTTTTAAAAAAGAAAACAATCATGCATTTATTCTGCCTTTTCTATACAAACTGGGCCTCAAGGTAACCAATCAGGCTTTACTTGTACCTTGCCTTTGTCTTTGCTTTTCTGGACTAAACAATTCTAATCTTCCCTGATGCAATGGATGCTTCTGGCTACATAGGGGTGGGGTGGGGAGATACATATACAGGGTTCTCCTTAAAATGAAAAGACTGTAACATATTTTAAAATATATTCCTGTAACCATGTGACATCCTTCTACTAGGATCTTTATAAATGTTATCCAGCTAACTCCTCCTGTGGTAGAGAAATATCCAGAGTCTCCACTGATGGGAAGGGGAATGAGGCAAGTCTGAATGCAGACTTTCCAGGGTTTGTATAACAGCTCCGTGATGCCCTCAAGAAACCCAAATCCTTTGATTTGTGTTCCTTAATGTATGGTTTTTATCCTCATAGTCACAAAATGGTTGCCTCTTTCAGGCATTACATCTGTGTTCCAGGCAGGAGGAAGGGAAAGAACGAAGGGTGAAAAAGCAGAAGGCCTCCTTGCTAGGCTTTGTGTTTTTATTTAGGAAGAGACACTGTCAAAAATTCCCTTACATTTCATTAGCCATAACTTGGTCATATGGTCATACTCTGCTGCAAGGGAGAGTAAAGAGTATTGTAACTGGGCTACTAGTTACCATTTAGAAAATTGGGTCTCTCTTTGTGATATAGAAGGGTGAAGCAAATTTGATGCACAGTTCCATAGTATCTCAATAAAAAGTTCCATATTGAACTGAAGACTCTGCAGCTGAAGTTGGCAGTCTACTCCCCTCATAGTCAAGACAGCTAATACTGCTCTCCTGATAGTAATGGAGAGAAGCAGGGCTTATCATTTGTCTAAGTCATGCAGTATGAAAGCAGTAGAATTGAACAACACCTACACCTGTAGGTCTCCCAGATTCACAGACCTTATTGTCTGGTCATAAAGAAAATGGGAACTTGATGAGAAAATTTACTACCAGCAAATGATGAGCTTCCAACAGTATCCTTGGCCAAGTCCTTTGCTGAGAGATTCAAGTAATCAGTGAATTTCTCTGTGTACGCTATTATTAAAGAGCCAACTTATTTTTTTGGGGGGGTGCCTCCATAAGTATAAACATTAGTTACGTCATTATTTACCCTTCTGTTCACTGTATGATTTGTTTGAACATAGAGTTTATGGGAGTCATTGGTAATTGCCAGTTAAGAATGTGGGGCTCTTTTTGAAATCCTGGAGAGGAGCTTTTTAAAAAATAATAGCAAATTTTAAATAGCATGGGCGTCATATTTACGCTAATAAGGGAATTTGAATAGAAAAACTGAATAGTAAAAGAAGGGGGAAAGGAGCCAGGCTTTGATTCAAGATGGCAAAGCGATACCAGGGAGTCACCTCACCCCAAGCAAACACCGAATCTGCGCTATAGACAGACACCTTCCCGTGAAAAACACTGAGACCCTGCTGAGAGGCCCCTAGCAGGCCAGGCGAGGCGAGGCGGGACACCCTCTCTCCAGAACCCCATCTTCCTAGGGAAACTCCAAACGTAGGGCTCCTTCTGAGGAGCGAGGGGTTTGAGCCCCACATTGGGCACCCCTAACTTTCAAGACCTGCACCTGAGCGATGCCCCGAAAACCAAAGGGGCTCGGGGCTCACATCCTTGAGACCCGCAAGCTACCGCAGGCTGACGAGCAGCTCCCCACGTGCTCAGCCTCAGGCCCCG